ATGAAAAGACCGGACTCGAGTCTTGAGGCCTTTCTGTTCGGGATAGAAGTCACTGCACCCACCCCAGCAGAGCCTCTGAGGTCACTGAGGTGTCCTGGTTGGGAAGCATACCCACAAAAGTGGACGGTGATACCGGCCGCTCCGGGACTGGGTGAGCAGGGCTTGTGTGGCAAAGTCAAAATGTTCCTCCCAAAGGCAAAAGGATTAGGTATTATAGAATCTATACCCTACATATGATATTTATATAGTGGCAAATGCATACCCACTTTGACAAACATCTGAGAAATTTACCTAAAAGTTAACTAAAATATTTCCTACATTAGAAATCTTCTGGAGCACACAGGAAGAATCCACATATTAAAAATGTCTCCATTATCAATGGGACATCCCCCTACAGAGGGATCAGAGGAAAGGGTTGAGTCAGCCAGGATGCAGTAAAGCAATGATGAAACACACAATAGTCCTCTGGCTCCTTGAGCTTCCTCCCCTCTACTATCATGACCCCAGTGCTGCCTCTCACTTCAGACTAGACCAGAGCAAGTACACAGGTACAGATAATAGCTGATAGCACATGACACCCAGAATCCAGGAGCAGGAATGGGAATAGCAATAGAATAGAAAGGTAGGGGGAGGTGAGGAGAGGAGAGGAGGAAGGGGAAACCGATTGCAATGATCAACACATAACCACACACACCCCTCCAGGAGGAAGAACAGCAGAAACCATGGGCAAAGGGACACAGCAGTCAGTGTGAGATATGAAAGTAATAATAATTTAAAATCTATCAAGGGGTCACAAGGGTGGGGAGGTGGGGAAAAGAGAGGAGCTGATACCAGGAGCTCAACAGAAAGTAAATGTCTAGAAAAGAAGGATGGCAACCTATGCACAAATAGGTCTGATACAATTGATGTATGGACTGGAATAAGAGTTGTAAGAGCCTCCCATAAAATCATCTTTTAATTTAAAAAAAGCAATATATCTTCATTATGAGATATGTTTTAGTATATTCATAGAGTTGTGCAGGATCATCACTACAATCGAATTTCAAAACATTGTCATCCTTCTAATACCTATCAGTCAGTTTCCATTCCCTTGAGCACTTTACCAGGGCACCAATGTAGATTTGCCTAGACAGACCTATTGTCATAAATGGAACCACGCAAAAAAGTCTTTTGTGACTAGTTTATCTCACTTACCATGTTTTTAAGGTTCATCCATGTTGTAGCCAGTATCAATACTACATTCCTTTTTATTGTCAAATATCCCATTGTATCGATGTGCCAGATTTTAATTATCCATTCATCAATTAGTAGATATTTCATTTATTTTCACTTTGGGCTATTATGAATAATGCTTGGGAAACAATCATTGATGATTTTATCATTTTGAGATGTAAAGTCAGCCTTGTAAAATGAACAGCTTTTCATGATTATTATGCATCTGGAATCTTGGGACCTAACAAGAAGGCTGACACCCAGACCTGTTCAATTGAGTCACAGATCCAGAAAAGTACATTATAGTTGTGGAAGGGAAAGAGAAAAATACCACGGATGTGTTTTTACTAGTGGTTCACTTGCCTGCTTCGTCCCAGTGCCCATGTGTATGCACCTGCAGGCACAAACAATGTGTGCTCTCTTGTCCTCCCGCCCTCCCCCTGGCCCAGCTGCCCTAGCTTTCTGTCTCAGAACCAAAGTTGATAGGCAAGATCAAGGGCCAAAAAAGACAGCCAAGCCCAAAGCCAGGCCCAGTAGGACACAGCCACTGCTGCTAGACTGAAAATACTGGAAGCTATACTTGGACCATTTGGAGATGCTAATTAGCCTGGCCAATCCCTACTGATCTTGAGTTGCCAATGTTGAGTGTGTAGGCTTACTCCATCTACTGCCTGCACCTGTTCCTTCTTCAGAGCCATTCCAAGGATCTGAATAACCAGCAGCTCTCTGCTTCCCACTCTATCCACCTTCCCGCTGGTCAGATGTTTAGCATTCACCTAAAGCGGAACACTGGTCCCCTGTCTCCCTCATCTGGTTCCTTCTCAAAACCATTCTCTTTCCTCATTGTATTGAGCCTGTTGGTAATTTCCCACAATGACCACTGAGTAGCAGTAACCCCGGGAGAGGCAATCACTTTTCTTGTGTGACCCTGCCCATTGTTCTCCCTGATGGCAGTCATGGATGGCAGCCTTCTCTCAGAGCAAAGGGGCTGATCCTCGCTCCTTTGTTATACCAGTGAGTAGGGAGACAATACAAGTACGCCACAGAAGGACCCACTAACTCTTGGAATCCTCTACAGGTGGAGTCACAAGGAACACACAACTCTAACCCGGTACCAGTGCGCCCGGCACTTTCGTCAACTCTTTGTTAATATCTGAAGTGTCATAGAAGTCACACTGGACCCGAGAAGAAAGGCATCTTCTAGACCCGCAGTTCTCAACCTGTGGGTCGCGACCCCTTTGGGGGTTGAACGACCCTTTCACAGGGGTCGCCCAATTCATAACAGTAGCAAAATGACAGTTAGGAAGTAGCAACGAAAATAATTTTATGGTTGGGGGTCACCACAACATGAGGAACCTGTATTAAAGGGTCGTAGCATTAGGAAGGTTGAGAACCACTGTCTATATGCTCCTGGTTCAAACTCTCTTTCCTAGCTCCGGGTTTGGCCATTTGGGATCAGTTAAACTGTTCAAGATTCACTCCAAAAGAGTCTCACTCAGCTGATATGTCTATGAGTGGGACCAACTCTTGCTTCCCGACATGACTACTGGTTAATAATAACTTTGCATTTAAGACAGTATTAATGCTGTAACTCAATGTTTCTTAACCTTTTATTATGATTCCTCCTAAAACCCACAGATAACTTCCATGCTTATATGCGTGCTATCTACATACAAAAGGCGCGATTATTTGGTTTCCCAAGTATCCAGTTTCACCTGTATCGCCCCAATTAAAACATGCTGTGACTCCTCCATGCCACAACCAAGGCAGAGGTCTTATCTGTTCTGCTCCCTGCTGTAAGCCCTGAGCCAAGACATTATCTCAGGACCTGGCACAAACTAGGTACCTAGCTGATGAGCAAATCAACTAATAGTTTGTCCCCCTCCCCAAATGTTACAAGCCTCATGTTCCCTTTTCATCCAACATCTCTAATCTCAGTGCCTTCTTCTGGTACCTTCCAGCACTGCCCAGCATGGTGTTTCATGGTGCCAGGTGAGCAGGAGGTGGTGAGGCTATCAGGAGCTGCCAGCCTAGTCCTCTGTTACAATTCTTAGGGCCTGCCTTTTGGTAGCATCGCATGTGTGTCAAGGGCAAATGACATTTGCGCACCATGGAATAATTAAGGCAACCCCCAACTGATTTTGCCTCTCCTTCACCCAAGCATGAATTCACAGTTATTGAGACAATCTCTTTGGTCCAGCACACCACATCAGGCTATGTCTGTGAATGTACTGGGGAGAGGAGCAAAGCGGTCCTCATCAGCAATTACAAACAAGTCTTCCATTGTTTGCTGTGCCATCTGTTTTCTTGGTTTCTACCAATCAGGTGCCTGTATGCACAGCATAAGCAAGGCTAAGGGAATTGCAGGGGAGTGAGATCAAGGGCCCCTTCATAAAGAGTTCCTGTGCTCACACTGGAGAGGGCCAGGAGCACAGAGCCCTGGACAGTGAAAACCTCCCCAACTCAAGGGAGAGCCGTGGTTGAGGCTCGCTGCCTCTCATGAAAAGAAACAAGAATCTACAGTCCATTGCTGGGGGAGAGGGGAAGGGGAGGTAAGAAATACGGATAATTACATTCTCTAGAGCAGTAGTCCTCAACCTTCCTAATGCTTGACCCTTTAACACAGTTCCTTAGGTTGTGGTGACCCCCCAATCATAAAATTATTTTTGTTGCTACTTCCTAACTGTCATTTTGCTACTGTTATGAATCGGGTGACTCCTGTGAAAGGGTCGTTCTACCCCCAAAGGGGTCGCGACCCACAGGTTGAGAACCCCTGCTCTAGAGGATCTATGGAAAACATTTTAGCTTATGACCAACAATCAGCACCAAAAGCCAATCCAGAAAGTTTTGTCCTGTAGTATACCAAGGCCTGCAGTGCAAAGAAGCAGTAATAACAATGGTCCCAAAACAAACCAAGCAGCCTTGCTAATCTATTTATCCTGAAACTCCTAACCCCGCATTTTGGAGTGAATTTTCATTACTAGTTTGAAAAATATAGCTTTTAAAAAGTGCACATTTCTTTCAGAGAACCCACATTCAAAATGTCTCATTGGCCTTTTCACTGGCACTCTGAAATTCACTCTGGCCACAGTGCCAGCCTTAGCGGACGGGTGACAGGGAAGTCAACAGTTACAGCTGTGTCCCCACAGACATGAGCCATATCACCAATAAAAGTCGTTTTTCCAGAACTGAATTCTGTCCAGACAGTTACAGGGTATAATATCCCTCTTATATGAAATTATTAAGGTAAGGCAAATGTATCAAGCCCAAAGGAAATGAGACTTTATCAGGAGCAGAAGAAAGGAGAGAGGGGAATGGAAAACTCATTGCTGAGGGGGCTCCGAGCTTCTTTCTGTTTTGGGGTGATGGAAAATTTGGAAATAAGTAGTGATGACTGCACAGTGTGATGAGCATAATGATATAGAAAATCAAGGCAAGGGATTGTGCCTGAGGCCTTGAAAAAGTCCTACCTGTGACTGTAGTTTACATCAAATGTGTCCGTTGTTACTAAGTCCCGGGAACAGGTTAACTGCCCACTCTCCACAGGGCTCCTAACATGAGCTGCATCTTACCTGTCAGTGCATCAATGGCTCTTTGGTTTCACGTTGTAAGTGTGGCAAAAACTGGTCTTTTGCCCTTCGAGGGGGAACTTCCAAGTGATTTCTCAGTTGGTAATGACCTGCAAGGCTGTGAGGATACTTTACAGCCCAGCGGTAAATGTATTATTACTAGTACTGTGGGGGCGTGCTATGCTTTTATTCATTTCATTTTATGTTCTTTCCCTTCAGATTAAAATATGGAAAGGTCTGATTACAATATTTGAGAAAGGTAAGATGCCACTTAAATGGGCGGAAGTGGGGCAAACTTACTAACAGGTATCCTTCCATAGCAAACCCTGCATGGCAGACCCCTCCCGTGCCTGCCCTTCCACCTCTGCTGCTCCCCACATCCCCTCCCTTGCTTTCAAAACGCCTGCCCCTGCATGTCTGTGCTGCCTGGGGAAACTTAGATTCCCTTTCTTCTCCATGAGCCCAGGGCGGAATCCGACACCAACACCTGCCATCCCAGAAAATGTCTTTGTCCCTTGCCCTTTGTGTGCTGAGCTGCAGGGGAGCCGATGGGCACCAGGGCTATCGCCTTTTTGTTGCCCAAGCCCTAGCAAGATCTTGAGATGGACCAATAAGATGAGGCATGTTCTGGTCCGGCCTTTGACCAGGGACCTTAATTAAGGTCTCGAAGGCCTCCGCTTGGGGAGGGCAGATTGCAAAGCGGGCAGCCGGGGGAGGAAAAGCTGACAAAAGCTGGAGGAGAATGGAGGGCGGAGAACCTGGGGTTGCTGTGGTGTAGGACCCAGAGGGCACACCACCAAGTGCCAGGTGTGTCCTTCTAGGCCCCGCTTTCTGGCCCTGAGTACGCAGCTCAGACTTTTCCGAGCAAGCCCCGTGGCAGTCTGCTGGCTGACAACTCTCTCACTGCAGGCTCCACTGGCTCCCAGACTCACAGGTGGAAGGGAGATCAAGGAATAGCTACAGGAGCAGGAACACGGCTCAAAGGAGGATGGCAATAGATGATGTATCATTTATACACTATACCTCCTCAGCGCATAGTTTGGCACAGATGCAATCCCTGGTACATATGGGAGTGGGATATTAGGCATTTGGACCCATCTCCAAAATCCCTCCATCCATCATGCAGGCATGGTGAAACCTCTACACCAGGTGAACAGCCTTCTCCAGAGCAGAGTAACCCTGGACTCACCTGGTCCCTTTCCCTCTGCAGCCGTGCTGTTGTTCCAAACAGGGGCCCCAGCCATCCTCAGAGGCAAGCAGGCTGAACAGTGGTGAGGGGCTCAGTCAGAAATGGGCAGGCAGGGTTAGACAGTAACCCCCAAATAATGAGGACTTCCTGAATAAGTATTTATTTGCAGGGACCCTGTACCACAGGACTGTCAAAATGATACTTGTGTATCCTGTGACTAGACCCCAAGCTTCTGTCACGAGGAAAGGACAAAGTGGTGGCTCTCTGTGCCAGGCAGCCTGTGAATGAAGTGAGATTTGTAAGGCGGCCTTTCTGTTTCGTGGCTAGCCTTCTCATTCCACATCTGCCATCTCCTCCGCAGTCATGGGATTCGGTGTTGAATCAGAAGCAACTGCAGTCTGAGAAAAAGCCGGGGACTGAGGGCATGTGTAGGCACTGTGGGGCTGGCTCTGCTCCATGGTAACCTTGACCCTTGACCCCTAGAAGTCAAGTTCCAACTGCCTTCAGCTGTCCCCTTGCAGCAGCACGCGCCATGTGCCACCCAGGCCTGCATTGGGCCTACATTAGCATGGCTCTACCATCTGTCATCCTACAAAACCGCAATAAGATGCAGGCGCCCCTCTTTCCCCCCTAGTCCTTCCCTGGGTACTGGGGGTGGTTGGTAAATATAAAAATGGGTTTCCTTCTAATCCAGAACACACAAAGCTTCACTCTTCCCGTGGATTTCTTTGAACGTCACTTTATATCTTTCATTAATTTGTGTTCTTTTTCCCCCTCTATCCCAGTTGATCTAATTATAGTACACACAGGGCGGGGCTCCTTTATAATATGAAATCTTACACACGTTGAAAGTTAAGGCACTTAAAATGTAATATTATCTGGGATTAAGTCAGGTTCAGCCTACCTGCTGTCCTCAGACCCAGTTAAAATACTAGCACCCACCCCCAGCTGGAAGAAGATTGAAACATGTGCTTTCACTACCCCTTCTTTGTCCTGGGTGACAATATACCTGTCATCCTTTGTCAGAAGCAACCTGGCTTTAAAAACAAAACTAGTGGAAGGATTGGCTTTGGGACACTGACGAGAAAGTTGCCTCTACAGGCCCAAGCTTCTTTACAAGTATTAATCTGGTGACTGTTCCCAGAAACAATAAGGTAAGGCCAGAAAATGAAAAAAGATTCTGTCGGTGAGCCAATCAACTCAAAATTATTTCACATGCCAGCAGTAATAATGATGATCTCAAAGACCAAGCCCTAGCTATGAAGCGTGCTCCGAGGCTGGTTCCAGGCAAAGGTCATGCAAGGAAGCCTTGATTGTACTACAACAGGATTTAAAAATATGCTACAAGGGGTTGGGTGATGAAATGATACGCTCATTCACAGAGCGCTCCTCCGGGAGCGTGAGCAACAGCGGGCTGCTGTTGCAGCAGGCGTTCCTGTATTCCTCGGAGCCTGTGTAGAATCGCCCTGGGGGAAGGGAAGGGGGCAAAAGACGCAAATTTTCATGTTATTCCCTTTTCCTTCCAGTGCTAAATAGCAGTATGCGCATCTGGACCCATTCAGATAGGCAATTTAGTCCAGCCGTTAGTCTTAGCTCCTTTGAGAAATAATTGAGCTATAACTCATTGTGTAAACTATCACTAGGTAAGTATGTGTGTGTTTTTCTTAGTATATCAGATCATATATATATGTGTGTGTGTGTGTGTGTATATATATATATATTCAGTAAGACTGAATTTCGAAAATAGATCCATAGCTTCTTTGCGGTAGAAAAGCTCAGGGGAAACCCTAAGAGGAAAGGCATTAAACTTCGCAGCAAGTCAAGCCTGGGAAGGTTAGCAGGCCTCCTCAGGACAGAGCTCCACAATTCTTCCCTGAAACTTGTGACCACAAAAGCTTCCGTTGACTTAACGCAGCCTCTCTCTGCTTCCTTTGCAGGGACCTGCCCACCAGCAGGAGGGCCAGGCTTGCAGGGCCTCCTCCCGCAGAGACACTTGAGCCACCTCCATTCCTGCCCCAAACTCAGAGACTCTGGGAAACCTCACCCTTCTCATGGTGCCCTCAGCAAGTCTCCCTATGAACCAACTTTTGCAGTAAAAGGAGAAACCCACTACAGTTTTTCTACTGGGACTCTCAAGCTTTACTATGCCTTCTTGTATCACATCCACATGAGCCCTGGGCTTCCACTGAAGACAAAGTCGCTGACAACCAGAAACAAGGCGCAGTCACGTGGGCATTGGCTGTGGCTGCACCAGGAGGAGCCCTAGGAAATGATTCTGAGGGGAGAGTGCGGAACCAGAGGGACAGTTGGTTCCTGTACTCCCAAGTGTTTGGGGGTTGGGGTTTTTTTGATTTTCTTCTTGTGAACCCACATGATTCACAGAAGGGCTGGCCAAGTAACCACTAACCAGATTGTTGAGAGGAATTTTGTCAGCATTGGTTTTTCTAGTTTTCCTTCTGTTAGAATTTATGGTTTACTCAAAAGTTTCATCATTGTAGAAATGACCTTTCCCCAAGGTCTTTTGCTCAGGAGAAATTTTACCTCCATTTCTGGGTGTTTTTACACCTGGTGCCTAATGCCTACTAATGGAGACCTGATCACCCAGCAGCCCCTCTAACATACTCCCACCACAGAGCACTCAGAAGGTTTCTGAAATACAGGGCCCTGTTCTCATATGAGCTCTGATCAGACACAGCTCAGGCCAATGCTATAAAGTAGGCCTTTCCCGCTCCTGTGCCAGGGTGAGAGCCCCACATACCCATGTTGAATTGCATCCTAAAACTTCACCTTGGAATTGTGCTCTCCTGCCTTTGCTCAGAGCAGGCCAACATAGGGGCTTAGAATTATTTGTCACACAGAGTTATAGGAGAACACATTTTAAGCAAGGGATTTAATCCTTACTTTTTACTCATTTGGCTCCGAAGGGGTCAATGAGGCTGTTTTAAAGGGGTCAGTAAGCCTTGCATTTTGCCTCTGGGTGGGTTCTGCCTGTCTAGCAGCAGGGAAACCAGGAATAGGGGAGCCCTCTCTTACACAGGCCGTCTGCTTCCCAACCAAACTTCCCCACCCTCACAAGTAGGGTCCTCCAAGTTCACAACTCTGTTGCCCACCAAATGGCCTTTCTTCTTTTTAGATTAGTTCAAAGCTCCAGGTCTTTCTGAAAGTCACAACATCAGAGCACCAAGGGAAGCTCAGCCACAAAGAGAGAGCCCCCAAACGCAGATGCCCCCTTTCTCTCTGCCCACGGTGTTACCTCCACTTCCTCACCACCCCCAGAGTGGGCATGCTCCCTGAGACTCAGTCGTTCCCTTCAATATTGCATTTGCTTAGCACGTATGTGACTTCTGCAGATGAAATGGGCAGGCACACTCTCGAAACAATGAGCAGGAACTGAGAGCACCTCTCTTATCAAAGATGGACCTTCAAGTTCCCACGAGGATTGTTTTTCTGCCTCATAAGGGATTGCAGGCCTAGCACCCTCAGACAGAAGCAGCTTGAGGAATATTCAAAAGTGGAAGAAATAAACCTTAGTCACCCGGGGCTGTTTTATGAGTGGGCCCCAGTGTGCTTATATGATACTTAATGGCACCATAAAGGTGACTGGAAGTCAGGGTACTTCCCACTGTCAGCCAATTGCCAACTCGCATTACTCTCTACTCCATTAATGTCTTGGGCTTTCTGGTTAGCCTGGGTTTCCCACGGAGCTCAGACTTCACCTGCTGTTGAGCTGCCTCCTTCCTATTTTCAGGGAACCCAGCCTTCATCACAGAGAGAAGCGTGGCCTATGCGTCCCTGGGAGAACCTTTTAACTTCAGCTCTAGGACCCCCTGTTAGGCAAGAACCCATAGGCAGAATTCTTGGCTTCAGTGGGAAGTAAGGATCCAGGACTTCTGCTGCATGATTTAACTTTACTGTCACAAATCAGTGCTCTTGATCTAAGAGTGAGAAACTGAATTGTCAGTGGTGAATATTAGACCTTCTTGTAATCTCTAATCATGGAGCAAGCCAACGGCAAGTTGCAGTCAGTAGGAGTGCGACAAGGCTGTTTCTGCACCACTGGTCTCAGACACCACTTCAGGGCAGAGATATGGAATGAGGGGAGGGGGCAGGTCAGGGAACAGGTACAGGGTATCTGTGGCCATATGGACTTAAATAATTTCTGTTATTTGAAGTGGAAAACTGAAATGACCAAGATGTTTTGTACTTAGAAACTCAGATATTGTGCTTTTATAATAAATACCTTTCAGCAAAACGGAAGGTTGAGTACCTAGTGGAGCCCCACCCTGTGCCACAGCAATGACCCATCACCTTAACAGGCCATCCATCTGCAAACAAAATCACCCTTAATTGTCCAAAATGTGGTAAGAGACTCGCTGACTTCCAGGCAGCCTGAGCCAGTCCCTCACTGCTCTACATGCTGACGTCCACCTAGCTCAAAGTAGATATTCTGTAGTCTAGTTGAGTAGGTTTATGCAATTAAAAACATATATATACATATACATATTGCCATAATATGATGATGTCCCTTTAAATAGTAAAACTTTAAGTAGACAGAAACAAAGAAGTTTAGAGCAATAAAGTGACTCACAAATTTCTTTAATTATATGCTGTTAAGACTGCAATTCCTAAAAAGCCATGGGGTAAAGAGAGGGTTTTGGACCCTTGGATTTATGATCTGGGTTGGTTAGCTTACTAAAGGTTACCCTTAGCCTTACAAAAAAGAGATCCTGCAGGTCTGCAGAGCAATGCAAACCTTGTCTTCCTGATCTCCGGGTGTTACAACCTGCTCTTCTTTCACTGTTGTTACACGGGAAAGTCTGTGAGACAGAACCTCTATAACACAAGAGCCTGTCAAAGAAGGAAAACCTAAACCTTTTCCACTGAAACAAGCAATAGAAAAGTGGTCAGATTCCACCAGATCAAAGGTGAAAAACTTGCAAGACCCAGAAGAACAAGGCAGTTCCATCAAGTTGTGGCTCTCACGGTTTCACTGTATTTGGATCATGTGGAGATTGCAGAATACTTTAAAACATTTACTGATTATCCGTGACCTTGTTAATGTTTATATGTACTGAAAGGGAATATCCACATCAGAAAAGGAAATTCAACACATAACAGCCATCATCGTAGTTGCATGTAATATCTGTGTATAACATATAGAGTAAGTGAATGTTTTCTTATTTTCAGGATACAATATGTAGTATGTGTAAATAGGAAAAAAATGATAAGGATGGTAAATTAAGTTATAGCATATCATGTGATTTTTAAAATTCTGTTCTCTTGTTATTTAATTTTATTAATGCTTCACCTCTAGGTTTGTGTTTAGGTGTATAATCCACCTTCCCAGCACGTGTGTCAGCTGAGAGCACACTGGCAAAGCCATGCCAGCAGACCAGCACACAGAGCATCCATGGCTACTAATTTAATTCTGATTTATAGCTACGATTTAATAAAATGGATACACAGCACTTTTGTGCTCTATGTTTCATTTGTTTTAGTTCTCATTTGATTAGAAAATAATGTTTCACTGCTGCCTACTAAAAAGTGGTTTACATTTTAGTGGTGAAGTTTTTCAAAAGCATTTTTCTAACCAAAATTTTAAAAAATGTATACAAAATGGTAGCCAGCACCAATCCATGAAAACTTACAAATATTTTTTACCTAAAATTGGCCTCACAGTTCATAGCATGGAGTGCTACATCCCAGTCACCAGTGGACTTGAATACAGGCATCATTATCCTCATGGATTTAAGTCGACCTACTTGTGGCTGCCATTTGTATAAAGATCCACAGTGGGCTATGCAGACCCTGGAACAATAGCTCTGAGCCAGGCGCCAATCTAGAAGGGTGTGTCTATACAGGATGTAAAAAAAGTGTCTACCAACGACTTCTTGTTGGTATGGCTGCCAGTGTTGGCGACTGGGCCTCAGTTTTTGCGACCTGGGCAGACAGCCTCCATCATGATCTGGGCAGCACTGAGCATCAACTTTGTCGACAGTACCCATGATCCATTGGCAAACGTTTGCTGAGGCCCCATCACAAAACATCTCAGAGGACCCAGAAAGGATGACTTCATTTGCAGCCTGAACCATTTCGACTTTAGATTTGGGCTTATAACAAGAGCTTGCTCAAAGGTGTGACATGCTTTTAATATTTGGTTTTCCACAGAACAAAACTTGGCTTGGGGGCTTGGGAAGCTTTCTTGCCTAGCTTAGTGGCACATCACAATGTGCAGATTCTTGCCCCAGGCTCACTCATCCCCACTCCCACCCGATTCTGACTCAACTGCTCTGCAATGGGCCTCAACAGGTGTTTTTCTTTCCTGTAAGCCCCCAGAAGGGTCCTGATGTACAGCCATACCTTAGGGCAGAGGAAATCAAATCAGACTGTGAAGGGCACAGCCCACAGCTGCTGGCCATCAAAGTCCCTTCTGATAACTTACAAGACGCTTCAGAATTTGCAATGTGGATATGAAACTCAAAAGATACTTATGATGAATGCCTCATAAAGTAATTTATTATAACAAAAAACTAGGGGGAGAGGGACACCAATCACATTCATGAAGCCCAGGTAAAATCTTAGGCCATATCCTACAAAGGCTTTAACAGAATCTCAACTGCCAGTGGTTCCACAAAGAAAATGTACTGCTGTAATTAAGGGTCTCCTGGGCCTGCCTTAGTTAACTGGTTTCTGCTAGGGACTAGAATTTAAAGAAATAATGCCCTTAAAGTACTTCCTGGCCATGATATAATACTTTAAGTGTTTCGGGAAAAGAAAAAAAAAAAAAACGTAGAGTCACTTGTGTTTCCTGCAGTAAAGAATCTCCCAGCAATAAAACTGTATTTGCTCACTTCTCTATATATTTGAGCCAACATTATAGAGCTAGGAGGAAAAACAGGAATTCTTAGAATTCTCAGGAGAAGCCCATGCCCACACAGAGGCCTCATTGATTATCTTGATTGACAGGCCAGACTCCACCCCGTCACTCTTAATCCTCAGATTAAGATTGACAAACGATTCTATAACTACCACAGCCCATGTGCTTGATTTACTGAAGATGCAGATCTACAGCTGGAAAAGTCAGCCTCTTGTACTCTACCGCCCACTTCCTTCTGCAGATGTGGAAACCAAGGCTCCGACACACTAACTCGTTGGGTTTCCCACCACTAGAAAGTGGCAGCCCCATGGCAGCAGCTGAGTTTCCTCTTTCCCTGCGCAGCACAAGTCAAGGACTGTTGAGAATGCAGTGCACCCTCTGCGCACTGCCAAGTTGCCTAGATGTTGCTAGTGGTGATACACTCGGCTGCTAACCCAATGAGTCGAGTTCTGAGTTCTCCCAGAGGCACCCCAGAAGAAAAGCCTGGCACTCTACTTCAGAAAAACCACCCATCAAGGAAATTCCAGAGCACACTGACCCATATCGTGTCATCACGAATGGAGTCGACATGATGGCAACTGGTTGAATGTTCGATAAAATATCCACAAGGAGGGGGGTTGGTACAGGGGCCATTACATTTATGTTGATGGTAGTGGAATAATTTGGAAAAGGGTCATGGTAGCACACGAACGAGAAAGAAGCTAAAGACACACTGGCATGTAGACCACAAGAACTACCCAAGCAAATACTGGTCTTGCGTGGTTTTGAAACAGGCTTGCGACCCAGATGCAAGTCAGAGGTTCTTAGTGTGCTGCCAGCCACCTCTTACCTACAGCTTTGCCCTCAGGACTTAGCAAGGCGAGCTGACACTTCAGCACTGTGCTCCATGGAGATGCAGTGTACTAAACAATGGCATTCTCTTGGCCCCAATACGCTCTCCAATATGAATCGAAACAACAACAACACAGTACAAGTGCTTCAGATACTCTTTCTGAGTAAAATAGAGCAGTGGAGTTAGCGATCTTATGGGTTTTTTGGTTTTTAAAGTAAAAATATTTTTTAGAGTTATGTTAAAGCCCTAGTTCTGTGGCTGTGAACAAAGCTGTCTGAAAGCAGTTTCCTTTTCTTATGCTAATGAAGCCATGCCAGAGGAGGGAGGGTCCTGAAGTTGATGCTTCTGAGACGTATCACAAGAGGACTATGTAAGGGGAATTCTGAGAAGATGGTAGCATAAAAATATCATTGTTCTAACCCTCTCCTCAACAACTACAACAAGAGCTACAAGGAAATGGAGCTCCACCTTGAGGGACACAGTCACGGAGCAGAGGGCAACTGCAGAGAGGCAAGAATCAATGAAGCGACAAGGAGTCATAGAAGCCAAACCACTCCCATCAAGTCAATTCTAGGGAGAGCGTTGAACTGTCCTCCTCGGGTTTTCCAGGTCATCCTTATGAGAGCAGAAAGCCTCAGCTTATTCCCGCAGAGCAGCCAGTGGGTTTGAACTGCTGACCTCGTGGTTAGCAATCTAATATGCAATCCACAGTATAAAAATCCCTTCTCTCACTGTCCCTGTCCCTTCCCCTAGCCACTGGGGCACAAGCTTCTGTGAACTGAGGAATCTACCCCTGCAAAAAAGTTTCCCAACTACCACACCTCCTGCCTTTACAAAGAAGCAGAACGCCAGCCTTGTTTTCTAAAATCAGCAAAGCAGACCTGCCCCAGGGTCAGTTCAAAGTGTTCCCTCACTTCCCCCAGCTGGACACCATCAGCTGCAAGTATGCTGCATACTGCAAAGAGGAGCCTCTGTAGTGGATTCATGTTCCCCCTTAATCAAAGCCTCTATGGCCAATAGGACAAACCTCCCTGAGGGTTAATTTGGTAAATTGGCAGGGAGGACTGCTGACTAAGTATGTGCTAGGAAGCAGGTATCAGATGGGACTGCATAACAGCCAATAATCTACTAGAATAGCTCTGGTAGCAACAAGACACACATCGGTTCAGAACAGGACAACCGCTACACCTGTTGGTTACCAGGCTGCTGCAAATTGCTACAGAAAGCCCCTGTGGTGAAGTCCACATGGATAGGCAGCGTTCTATTTGCCTACCTACCCACACCATAGTTCAAAACTCACTATCATCGAGCTGCCTCCAGCTCACAGTCATCGTAGGCAACGGGAAAGAACTGCTCCTGTGGGTTCCCGAGACTGTAACTCATTTGGGGAGAACAAAGTCTCATCTTTCTCCTGAGTAGTGCCTGGTTTCAAACAGCCAATCTTGCAATTAGAAGTGCCATGCAAAACCCACTAGGACACCATAGCTCAGGGCCCTCAAACTAATATAGAGATTTATTTAGCTACCTCTCCTTTGACACTGATGGAGGTGTCTGTGTGCTCACCAGGTTTCTTGAGTATAGATTGATTCGTGCAAGCTCTCGTACTTGAATGGCTGTGCCCACGATTAGCCACAGCATGTTCCCTGATGTGTATAGGTGACATTCAAAGTGGAAAATTGAGATCTGGAACTCTTGAATCCTGATTAAGTCAGGGAAGGGGGAAAGAGCTATCACAGAGAGGCAGAGGAACCATAGGCAGAGTTTGAAGGTTCTGCCCACCAAACAAATTTTTGAAGAAAGTTGTTAGGGGCCAATCCATTAAGTCTGTTCCCACTCATAATGATGTACAACAGAAGGAAACAAAGTAACATCCTTGCTCCTCTATACAAACAAGGTCGCTTGCAGTAGACTTACCTGAGACAATATGTCTTTTGTTCTCTTGACTGCTGCTTCCATGAGGACTGATGGTGGAGCCAAGCAAGACAAAATCCTTGCCAACTTCGACCTTTTCTCCATTTATCATGATGCTACCTACTGTGCTCGTTGTGAAGATTTTGGTCTTCTTTACACTGAGTGGTAATCCATACTGAAGGCTAAACTCTTGATCTTCATCAGCAAGTGCTTCAAGTCCTTACTTTCAGCAAGCAAAGTTGAGTTATCTGCATATCGCAGGTTGATGATAAGCCTTCTTCAAATCCTGATGCCACGTTCTTCTTCATATAAGCCAGCTTCTCTGATGATTTGCTCAGCATACAGATTGAACAAATATGGTGAGAGGATACAACCCTGATACACACCTTCCTTGATTTTACACCTGTATGGCCGGATCAATACCAAGCCGGCTTTTTGCAGCAAGTGACCTTGAATCTCCCCCACCCGTGTGGAGCTGGCTGAAACAACTAGCAGCAAGTGACCTTGAATCCCCCACACACCTGCGGAGCTAATGGCCCGCTTTATTCTCGACCTGCTGCTCTGCACCCGGCACAGCACCGTTTTGGCCCATTTGGCTCAGTGCCCACTTTGCTCTCGGCCCTCCACTCTGCACCCCACACGGCCTGTTTGGCTCAATGCCTGCTTTGTTCTCGCCCACCACTCTGCACCTGGCATGAATACACCTGGAACCAGGAAGACACCTTAAATTCCAGAAACCTGGACATACCTGTCCATATATAAGCACCACCCCTGTAGCCTGGGGCACGATTCCTCTGGCCCGGACACTGGACCGTGGGACTTCACCCAGCCTGGGTTTTTCTCCCCAA